CTAATCATCTTCTGTTTTGTTATAATGGTGGTAATTTCGTCTGTATCAAACTGCAAGATATCAATAACTGTAAATTGCTAATCAACATGATGCTTATGGCTAGTGCTGACCAAGATAAAGCTGTTAATTGAATTATTTTCAAAGATACTACCAAAGCACAAAACATTATTTGTAGGCCTTGAATTTAAACTGATATTTAATTACCGGGGTTATATTTTTTTGAATACTGGAAATACCATCAAAGCAAATGGAAAATAGTTGAATATTACTCAGTTCCTAGAGGCATGTTTATAATGTTTCTCAAGCAAATATGTAGTTTTTTTTTATGTTTGACAAATACAAATAAGCCTTTCATTTGAAAAAATTGTTTATTATCACTACCGGATAGATATGTTTGCTTGCTGTATAAATGAAAAAAAAAACCCAATATCATACTGTTTCGATTCCCCGAAGTTCATATGAACGTGATTTGAGGGCTGGAATGGATGATTAAATGTTAAAATTTACCTAATAAATCTCAATCCACTGACTCATAAATAAGCTGCATTTAAAATCTTTTACGGAATAAACAGCATGATTTTTATAATGTTCACTTATTCCAGATTCAAATCTTATACGGAACAAGTTGCATTTTATACCTTTTGCGGATTAAGCTGCATAATTATAAAATGTTATCCTATCCCAATTATAGATCTTTAATGGAATAACTGCATTTTATGTCATTATTTTTTTTTACGAAAAGAAAGGGCATGATTATAAAATGTTAGAATATCCCGGTTTCAAATCTTTATAAAATGTTCATCTATCTCATTTTTATATCTTTTATGGAAAAAGCTGCATTTTAATTAAATTTTTTACGGAATAAGCTGCAGATTTTAAAATGTTCACCTATTCCAGTTTTATATCTTTCACGGAAAAAGCAGCATTAAATTTAAATCTTTTACGGAACAAGCTGCATGATTATAAAATGTATCTCAGTTTTATACCTTTTACGGAATAAGCTGCATTTTAAATCTTTAACGGAATAAGCCGCATCATTACAAATTGCTAACCTATCCCAATTTTTATATCTTTTACGGAGTAAGCTGCATGCATTGATTATAAAATGTTAACGGTAAACTATCCCAGTTTTATATCTTTATGGAATAAACTGCATGATTACAAAATGTTAACCTATCCTAGTTTTAAATCTTTTACGGAATAAGCTGCATGAATATAAAATGTTAACCTTTCCTAGTTTTATATCTTTTACGGAATTTAATAGCTGCATTTTATATCTTTTACGGAATAAGCTGCATGATTACAGAATTTTTACCTATCCGAATTTTATATCTTTTACTGAATATTGGCCATAATAAAAATATTTCTAGATTCTCATCCCTGCCCACTCTGAATTTATACCTTCTTATTTCTGTTTTTCTTCGTCTTAATTCTCATCGGGATCGGTATTCATCTACCATTCTACTTTCGTTTTAAACATGATTTTTGACGGCTGAAAAATTGCTGTAATACGTATATATTTTAAACAAGGGTCATTGGTTGAAAAAGATTGGTGATGATGTGAAGTAAGAGATAATTGAACCTTTACTATGACTTTTATTCGGGTATTGTAGATAAAATCTGTGAAATTGAAAAAATAAAAAGTATAAAATAAAAGCCGCCCGCCCACCTTGATTTTTTTTTTTAAATTGGATGAGAATCTAGCAATTTATTTATTATGGCTTGAGCTGCATGATTGTAAAATGTTAACCTATCCCAGTTTTATATCTTTTACGGAATAAGCTGCATGACTAGATCAATAAACAATGTATTCCTTTAAAATCAGAGCATGTTAATTTGAGATAATTCTGGAAATGAAACTAAATTTCTGTCATGTGCTTGTTGCTACTTGCTTTAATGTTGGTTTAATGAAACTTGTCTTGGTATTTCATGTAACATGGATATTTGTTTTAAAAACCAAATTAAATAATGCTTATAAAACATGTAAAATTTGGTTTAAAAAGCTAATGAGAAAAAATTATGGCCTGATTGAAAATTTTTGTAGAGAATCCTTTACTGGACTTTTACAAATCGGTCTTGAAAAAAATAAATTCAACTTTGCATGGTGTGCCTCTGAAAGTCTTTTTTTTCTAACTTCATTGATAAAAATAGTTTAAAACAGTTGCATACAATGCTCATAGGGTTTATTTGTTGAATAAATTAAGACACAGCTACTTATAATGAGATAATTTTGAAACATTCTCAAAGTAAAGCTTCTTCTGTTACTATAATTTATGGAGTAATTACATTATTTTCTTTATTTAGTATTTTATTTGACATATTTTCATAAATATAACTTAATAATTAATATGTTATACATGGGGTACTTGAAATTTAATAGTCATAATCACATAACCGAGCAATATCAAATGCATGAAGCCAGATGTTTAACACCTTTTCCCTAATCATCTTCTGTTTTGTTATATTGGTGGTAATTTTGTCTGTATCTGACTGCAAGATATCAATAACTGCAAATTGCTAATCAGCATGATACTTTGATATGGCTAGTGCTGACCAGGATAAAGCTGTTAATTGAATTATTTTCAAAGATACTACCAAAGTACAAAACATTATTTGTACAATTTAAACTGATATTTAATTACCGGGGTAATATTTTTTTTAATAATAATGGAAATACCATCAAACTAAATGAAAAAAATATAAATATTACTAATTGAGCAAGTCCCTGCCATTAGGGAAAAACAAATATTATACTATTTAAGTGTCTTTCATACATAAAATTGTAAACCATTTCTCTTTAAATTACTGTATATCATTAAATCCATGGAAAAACAACAAATTAAATTGTAATTAAGATCTATGATCTATACAAAACAGTATTTATGGACTTGTTCATTCCTGAGTCCTATATCTTTTTCAAGATAAAGGAATTTACTGAAAATAAAGGAGAAAGGAATTAGAGCACTCGATCTTGTTAAACAAATTCTCTAAATGTTATCAGAAGCACTGTCTTTGAGAAATGCCGCTGACTACCAGAAGGTCTGTCTTGGACAAATGCCGCTAAATGCCGCTGACTCTACCAGAGGATCTGTCTTGGACAATGCCGCTAAATGCCGCTGACTCTACCAGAGGGTCTGTCTTGGACAAATGCCGCTAAATGCCGCTGACTCTACCAGAGGGTCTGTGTTGGACAAATGCCGCTAAATGCCGCTGACTCCACCAGAGGGTCTGTCTTGGAGAAATGCCGCTAAATGCCGCTGACTCTACCAGAGGGTCTGTCTTGGACAAATGCCGCTAAATGCCGCTGACTCTACCAGAAGGTCTGTCTTGGACAAATGCCGCTAAATGCCGCTGACTCTACCAGAGGGTCTGTCTTGGACAAATGCCGCTAAATGCCGCTGACTCTACCAGAAGGTCTGTCTTGGAGAAATGCCGCTAAATGCCGCTGACTCTACCAGAGGGTCTGTGTTGGACAAATGCCGCTAAATGCCGCTGACTCTACCAGAAGGTCTTTGCTGGACAAATGCCGCTAAATGCCGCTGACTCTACCAGAAGCACTGTCTTGGACAATTGCCCCACCCACCAACCCATTTCATCTCATTCGTGACTTCTTACATGAAGTATGAACCAGGAGAAAGCATCCCCTGTCGACCGTGCACACCCTCCCCATGCTCCTTGGCAAACGGAAAAATCTGCAGACAATTCTGTGGATAAATATGGTCTAACGATTGGTATGAAAAATGTCAGATAAAATTTAGCCATAAGGTGTATCATTATGATAAACTTTTGTTGTTAGATTTACGTCTTTTTCTAATAAAATATCCAAATATGAAACAGATGTGTCAGACTTTGTGGTATATTGCATTTCAAGCTCACTGGGATATATAGAGTCGACAAATGAATGGAAGTTGATTTCACATACGGGTAGTAAAAACTAAATTCATTCAACGAGAGAGACCCCATATTTCAAGGCATGTTAACGATAGGTGTAAGGAAACTAGGATAGTCCGTTATTTTACTTTTAAGTAGAATATGCCTCCCATTAACACTTATTGCATGGTTAAATTATTATTAATAGTACGACACTTTCAAAAGAACTCGAAAATGGGTGCCAACTTGCTGAAACCCGATTCCAAAAACCTGTTTCATTTTTGATACATCGTCTCACCTAACACATTTTGTGTCGAATTTCTGTCATTACCGTACATATTTTATCATAAAATTTAACTTCGCATAATGAACAAATCTGAGATTTCGATGATTAGTGGGTCGGAAATCCGATCCAAACTGTAAATATCCAATATCACCCCTTATCTAAGGCAACCTGGCCTCAAGTGCGCATGTCAGTATTCTATTGCTGCCAAGACATCCTGAGGCTAGACGTGTCCCTTTAATACTTCTATTCGGGGTGGGTCCCTGCTTCACCTCCTTACACTATTACAGCAATTCTTGTTGACTTTGATATCATATTATTTACTTTTCGTTTTTCTGAAATAATAAAGTAAATATCCTCTATACAATCGTGTGGGTATTCCTTCGGTACTGATTGAAAACACGTTAAGAAGAGACAGGGTGACAAGACACACATTTTGTGTTTTTTAAGTGCAGAAAATATTTGTCAAAGATCGGTGGAGTCTAACAAAATTTTAATGTCGTTATCAAAGCTTTTACTTTCAATGTCAATTTCAAAGCTGTTTCCAAGTGAATCGCATATGCTCTTATCGAGAAAGTTAGCGCGTGTGCACTATATTTGTCTTATTCAATACAAAGTCCCAAGATGTTTTTGATCTTACACTAGAAAGGTACGTATGAAAGAAACTGTTCTTCAAAAGAAGCAGGATTTTATTTGAAATGAGGCTCTCGACGTTAAAATTGTAAATTAACGAACACCTTTCGTAGTACAATGTAAATGCGACCATACTCTTCATTGAATTTATTGCATTTCTGTGCAAACACCCTGGTTAGTTCGCCTGTTCGGAACTGCGTCAAAATACACAAGGTTACAGATCACAGCGTTTATTTAAAAAAAAATAACAATTGTAAACATTTCAGAAACTTAGTATATACAAATTACAAATATAAATCAGTTTTATGTTGTAAACATGAACACAGTATGGTACATATGATAAATCCAATGTCTCCTTGTGGTTCTCCAGATACATTATAATGCTCCAGACTATACAATAGAGGCAGTAAACATAGCGCTCTCACTCACTCTCTCTCGCTCTCTCTCTCTCTCTATTTTCACATTTTCCTGTGTAGATAGGTGTGATGCTTTTGAGCACTTTTGCCGAGAATGTTATTATATTTGTACATTTTGCTTTCGGCTCTAAGTCTCAGACTGTCATATTTCACTGTTTTCCAGTTCTGGTTTCGATAAGGTTTAGTGTTGTAAGCAATGGTCTTGGACCGATAAGGTTGTACTTTCTTAGCATTGGTGACAGTTTTTTCTTCACAATTGGAATCTGAAAATAATAATAAAAATCAATGATACATAACAATATTTAAAATAAATTGTACATTTCTGTGTACCTTAATGTAAATTTTTATTTATTTACAGATACATTTTACAGGTATCAAATATTTACCTGGTGCCTCCCAAAACTGGATGGTCAGAAGCGTATGTTTTGAAATCCAGTCCTTTGTCTGATGAAGACGGTCACAATTCCACAGAGCAATGTGTCCCTTAGGTTTATTTCCAAATTTGGTATATGTTATTATTTCCATAATTCCCTGTTTTCCCCAGAATTTCCTTTTTGTTGCTATCGGATCCTTGTCATGTAACACTGAGATGCTGGGATAGCCATATTTGTCTGCCATGTACGGTCCAAAAGCTAAGGGATGGAACAAATACTGCCGCTTGTCTCTTCCAGATACACTGTCTTTGCCATGTTTAGATAAATGGATGGGGGTATAACCAATAGAGTATACACCTCCTATCTTGTTAAATGCAAACGATATACGCAGTGCGCTGGTATCGTGTAAAAGGTCTGTTTTATTGCATCCTATAGTATGAATGATTCTTTTGTGGGAATAGCGTCCTCCAAAGTGTTTATAGCCTGGATAATGATATAACAGCTTACTGAAAGATGGAATAGGGATCTGAAAAGAAGTAAAATTATATTAAATTATCAGCTGCAAGGTACGGTCCAACACTATTAAAATCCTCTCAAAAGGAGTTTTTTCTTTCTGTATGAAAATAGTTTTCTTTTTTTAAATGACTATAACCACTTACCGTTTTACTACATGAAGTCACCACATATAAGAGAAACATCAAAGATATTTTCAGATATTCCATGATGATTTAGATAACACTTTGCATACTGAATGTATATATGTTCACTTTCTTCTGCCTCGTGCCTTGATGACGTCAATGCCACGCGATCAGATCTTCCGCCAGTGGACTATTCCACGTGCCAAAGTGATCTGACTTTCTGGATTTTGGTTTTTCCAATGTCTAAGTTGTACCTTTTAATTTAAGCCCCGCCTCCTAGAGTGTGCCCAACAGCATACATTATGTTTATTCATATTTTGATTGGTTGACTGGTTGTATTTGCCATTTACGGGGATCGCTACCACAATTCGTCTGCCCGCGGAGTGATTATTGAATCCTATAACAAAAAGTATAAACCACAAAGCTGTAAATCTTATAAAAGTTCTCCATTCCAACTCTTAGCATATAGGAACTGCAATCTTTTTACATAATGAAACTAAGGCTTCTTTTTTATGGTACTTCTTCTTATATTAAAAAAGATCAGGATTTATTTTCAGTAAACTCTTTTGAAGATTTAACAAGACATTTCTTTAGCATAAATATATTTTTGTAAATTGATACATCTAATAGTTTGCATCTTTTTTTCTATAATGCATGCCAAAAATTCTAGAGAGGAGGAGCAGTGGGGTATATTTTTGTAACACTCAAGAAAACAACAAGAGTGTTAGCCATCGCTTCAGAATTAAATACCCCTCAAAAAGATTTTGTTATTTTATATGTTTTCAATGATAATATAAAAAAGCAGCCATTAATTTTCCTGCTGTGAAGAAAATAAGTGGGAAGACCAGGTTGACAGATAAAATATATGATACCGATACTTGAGAGCCGTTACAGAAATCCTAAATTGATATTTTATGCAGCAATTGTTTGTGCTTCAATTGTTTGATTGCTGTCATTTCTTTAAAATACAAAAGAAAACGTGTAATGTTACAGCGAGCTGTTTGTGAAATCACGTTAGATTAAAGGACAAACTATGGATATAATATTAGATCTTGCAAAATTTGAAATGTCTGTATCCTTGAAAATTTATGCCTAAATGAATAAAATATAGGTGATGTTTGAATCCTTTCCTATGATCAGATTAATGTTAAATTTTTAGCAACATCTGCGATTGGAGAGTCGATGTTTACCTTAATACACAGTGCTTCGTAATCTGGATTTAACAAAATCTGTCACGTTACTTTGGAAACTTTGAAGTAAATGGCCTTATCATGTACCATACTGAAACTCCTCCAGCCACTTTTGGAAAATAAATAAATGTTTTCGTTTGATATTTTAAAGAATTATTCTATAATCGTTGACGTTTACCTCAGCTAGCACATGTCAAATAACTACGACGGCGTATTCGTATAACAAAAAAATTACCTCAACAGAAACCCTTCAGATTCAACTCTAAAATTTATTTTTAACTGATGAACAAAGGTTTATAACATTTATATGGAACTATAAGAGATAATTATATAGCTTTATCTTTAAGGGCACTATTTGCTTAACGTCACGTGATATGATGACCCTCTGTATTATATTATCCCTCTCCCCATTTAGTCAAACCTCTTAATTCTCATGTCTATTGTGAATCCCGTGATAAATCTCAAATTTATTAAGTGCAGACATTTTAAGATTTTGTAGAGCATCGCTCCCTCGTTATAAAATTATGAGCTTTAATGGTAATAAAAGACTGGGCATCACACTCATAAGAGAATTAATCAGTGCTTCTTACTACCTAAATCTTCTTATCCCGTGAGCAAATATGAAATAATATCATTTCAGAATTGGGTGTCTTCCTTCCTCCTCTTCTAGCCTCTCCAAGTTTTTTTCTGAAGTTTTACAATAAGACAAGCGGTATATTTGAACACCTGCCTCAGGGACCTCTGTACCGAGTTTCGGTTCATTTTTATTTCTTACAAAAAACACCTTTTCATTCTGTAGTCACAATAAAATCCTGTCAAGGTTTTTATAGGATAATTTCTCCTCGTAATATCGAATTGCAAGCGATTTCATTATGCAACTGAGCACTTTGCACAGACAATTGTGCGAAGAACAATTTGTAAATTGCTGTGTAGGAAAGGGGGTTGAACCCAACAATGCCTAACAATGATGCCTATTTCTGATCCCAATGCATTTACACCTTTTTGTGATTTTTCAAATATTTGCTTAATAGCAAAAGCAACTTGTCTACGAGAAGCTAAACATAACATTTTGCGCCATATTGGCGTTTCCTGTCGTTAGTCATATACCTTATATAAAAAAAAAAGCTTAATTACTACTTTGCCAGTTTACATTTTGTCGCAGAAAATTAGATCCAAAATCAATATGATTAAAGGTACGACAGATGCAAACATTCTCAAAAAACTTTTTATTATTAATTCTTGCAATAAAAAAAATAATAAATCAGGTGACATGGTGCTTCAACTTTAGGGCATATGAACCCAAAAATGGCCCACTGTATTTTTTCTGTGCCATTCTCAAAATTTAATTTTCACTGTCTGCTCAGAAACAACTATGGCACTTACAATGTATAAAACGACGATAAATGCCCTCTTTGAGAAAAGGATTGCAAAAAATATATATACGTGTTGTATTGGGAATGTCATGTTCGATACCCCTTGGTTCTTGAATATTGTGAATTGAGACCTGCAAAAAAGACCGTTTGTGTATCTTTTTCAAATTGTGTGAGTTTATATTCTCCTAAATCTAGATATTCAAATATTGACTGAACAAGTTTTACATTTTGTACAATTATTGGCAATGTAATAACGATTATCTTTACATCATCGTTAAAATTGTAATAAGGGCACAAAATGTAATAAAATTTGATAATTGCCTTTTGAATGCATTTAATGAAATTTTTAGGTCGAAATTAACGCAATATGTTCTAGTTTAGTAACAGTGTTAAAACAGTTGTAAAAATAATGTAATAAGATACTTTTTGGATAACTGCATTTTGAGTTAAAATTGTAAAATGTAATGAGAACTGTGTATATTTTAATCAATCACCTTTTTATATGAGTTTAGGAAATATATATGCTTTTAAATTTATTCATTTATTTATCAAATTCCCTCTTACATAAATGTGTTTCGTCATTTTCGCAATGTTTTTTGTTTTGAAAATTAACATAAAAGTTTTGTATGATTTGCTTGACGCAAAATGTTTGACTCAAAACATAACTATGGCTCTTTTATCTACGCATAGAAATAATTTGATATTTTACTGGAGTTTGTGAAATATAAAGGTTTTCCATAAATAAACATGTCTTCGTATATATACTGTCCCTTTACCAATTTTATTCATCTTACATTGTCTTTTGAATACGAGGGCTGTTCAATAAATAATGTCCTCGGTGCTCAGAAAGAAGCAAAAGACGCTTTTCAATGATTTATTCTTCATGATTTTACTAATTAATCTCTTTTAAGTAAAGTACATGTCCGTTACATTTTTTATCCAATTTCTTATCGTTTGTAGAACTCATTTTTGGGTATGACCCTTAGTATACTGGAAAATGGCAGATCCAATGATTTCCCGGACTTGTTTCTTCCTTCTGAAAGGTGTTTTTTTTCCAAGTTTGGAAATAGAAACAAGTCAAAAGCTCAAAGATCTGGCGAATATTGTTAATGTGAAAAAACATTAACTTTCTGTTTATCCCGAAAACCCCTTAACTCTTCCGGGCATGCGAGTTTGGACGCTGTCTTGAAGAAATTCAATGTAGTGGATTCCTGATTCTGGGTCCTTTCTCTAAAAAACCTTTCGATTTTTTGGCCAAAAAAGTGCTTTCTAGACTCCTCCAGAAATTAAACTGTTTCTCCGAATACGATTTTGAACAACAATACCACTAATGTTTAAGAAAATTACATATAAATCTGTCTTTGTGCTCTGGCATACCTGTGCACTTGTCAGACATTCGCCGTTTTTACCAAGTACATCTTAAGGTAAATTTTGTTTTTAGGATTTTAAGCAATAGATTCATGTTCCAATATCTGTTTGAAAATAAAACAAACGTGGATAACTACAATTATTGATATTTTAAAATAATTGTTAAGAATTTCGTACACGCTGTCATTTTCAGTCATTTTTCAAAATATAGGATGACCTTTGAGTATCAAGCTTTTTTACCGTCAAACGTTTCTTAAATACAGTGTAAACTACCCCCGATGTGATGTCTATCAAATTTGCTGTGTGTCTTAAAGTCAATCATACGTCATCAAATATTATTTGTTGAAATTTGGCGAACAGTACATAACTTGTTATAATTTTTGTTGGCAAGGACGGTACCCATTTTTGATGCCCATTATGTAATTTTTTATCATTGAAATCCACCTGCTCTTTTGTCTGTAAAACAAGCATTGGTTGCTGTAAATGTCACATATTTCAGTAAATATTTCTTTGGGATTTTTAACAAGTTTTACGGCAGCTTTAATGCTTTCATTTTCACTCTAGTTTACTGATTCTTTACCATTCATTTATAATGCAGTGTCTCGAAAAGCCCTTGTTTCCCAGCTTCTCACGATGAAACTATGTGATGAAAAGTGGTCATATAAACTGTTATGAATTCATGAAAGATTAAATAATGAGAGAAAGTCAAGTTTAATGTCATATGATATCTGAAATGTATGTCATATAGTTCAGGACATTATTTATTGAACAGCCCTCGTACATTTCGTTGATCTCGATGCAAAATATAACTAGAGGTACTGTGAGCAGTGAGCTCACTAAATGATACCCCCCGCCTCCCATATGGTTATAACTGATGACAAAGTCCATGGTTTGCCATGGCCGGGAGACCCAAAATATGTGTCAGATCAAAAAGTAAAATAGGAGGTGCACAATGGCAATATGTTATAAAGATACTGTGAAAGTTTCATTAAATTTCACTCAGTGGTATGTGCGGAACCCTAAAGCGTGACAGACGGACGGAATTAACGATTACTATATACCCTCCCGCTTTTCAAGCGGGGGGTATAAAAATAAAGAAACACAAAATATAGCAGTTGAGGAAATGTGTAACTGCATTTTTGCTTAATTGCACTTTGCATCTCCACGCAAAAAAAATGTTATAATTCAGAAGATATGCTATGATAATTTGCGTTATTACATTTTATGTTAATTTTGACGGAAAATGATATAATGTAATATTTTACTAAAGTACGTCTTACATTTTTACATTTTGTGTTGATCTCGACGCAAAATATAGTAGCACAAAATGTAATGATATAAGTTATAATTTTTATTCGATTTGTCGTAAATATTACATTTTGCGTTGTAGCAGTACATTCTTACTGAAAACTTTTGCGATTTACTTATTTTCTTTGT